TTACCAAAAGCAAGCAGTCCAAGACTACACTGTTGACGTGTATTCATGTGACAATAACATACCCATTTAAATACATACAAGTACGTTTAATAAATCATGTTTTTTCAGTTTATAGACTAGTTTTAGGTCATCATATTCAAAACAGAGAGCGAAAATGACTTTAGTAGCCTTTTTTTGCATAATTTTTTCACTTCTCAGTCCATTCTGTCATGTATGTCTGTGTTTGTGCAGGAGAAGCAGGAGCTGAGTGAGTGCTACAAGGCCGTGTATGTGGAGCTGAGTGGAATAAAGGGGCTCAGTGATAGAGAGATTACGTCTCTTAGAGAACACCTCAGACTGACCAACGCTGCCCTGGAGGAGGAGCAACTTCATGGCAACAGCACTAACCAATAAGACACAGAATGGATGCTTTTATCAGCCCCCATCTTTAACATGGAGATGCAAATATATTTAATGTATTTGATTCAAAAATGTACATAATTTTCACATTAATAAAAAAATAATACATCAGCACTGTTACTGCTTTGCAGTTTACTGACTCTCAGCAATAACTGTGCTGATGTAATTTATATATTCATGTGGGAATCATTTACATGTTTGTCTCAAATGAATTCAGTGCAACTTTAAACAACAGGGGGCACTGATTTGTTTACTGATGGAGAGACCAAGCTAGTTTTCCAGATTTAAAAGGAACTTATTTTCTTATTTGTCTTTATTTGAAACGTTTAAGGATACTGGGCATTAAGCCTTCCTTATTTTATGATATAATTTGACTAAATATAAATAAATTAATTTAAAAACGCTTCTACGAGATCCTTTGTGGGCCATTCCATTTTTAAATGAATTAAAGCATCGTCTGGTAACTCAATATAAGAAAAGGTCAATCATGTTAAGAAAAGAAACACAGCCAGCAACAGTCAAGACGTTTTATTTCATCAAAACAAAACTGTACATGCAAGCATGAGTGAGGCTGAGCAGGGGTTGCCTCACATTTAAGATTAAAAAGCAAAAAAGTAAAAGTGAACTTTGGATGTTCAGCTGTAAACGGAAGGTGAAGGGGTTGACACATTATTGCATAGATCCCTCCTTAGCGTTGTCTTCTCCAATACGAGCACCTCTTCATTTGTTCTTCAAACTATAATGTAAGATGAACATAATGTAAGAGAAAATATGAGTACAAAAATATGAGTCTAGTTGTAAATTCAGCAAAGCAACACCAAACAAACATGTATCTAATACAGCCATTTAGATTCAAAGACAAAATGACTCATTACACCCTTAAAATGTTCTACAGGGTTTTTATTTTATTTTATTTTAGTGAAAGCAGTGATTATATTTAGAACCATGACAACTCAAAGAACCATCTGAATGCTTGAATGGTTCTTTGCATGGTTACATTGTTCTTCTCCACAACAGAGAACCTGTAAGGTCTGTTTAGGTCAGAGGTAAGAAGAGCCATTTTGTCCTTTCAACAAAAATCAATCCGCCTTCGGAGCCACAACATTTTATGTCCATTTTATTAAAGTAACTTTTTACCTACTTGGCTAATATGTCCTAGCTAATGTCCAGGTATAGATCAAAAAAATGAACGCAGACTTACTTTGCCCTGCTTGAAGCTCTCTTTAAGCTCTTTAAGCCTGCTTTGTTCTGCTTGAAGCTTTAGTTCAGCTATAGCTGCTTTTCTCACATCTCCTGCAGGAAACCTTTCCTCATAAGTTAAATAGTTTCTTGTAAAATGCCTCTCAGCGTTCGCCTTTTTATGAGGCTGAAGTCAAGATTCTCATTCGCCAGCTTCTTGTTCTAATTTTCCTATTCCACCTTAAATAGCATAATCCAGCTGCTGCACCATTTAAGGTGGAACGGGAAAATTCAGACAAGAAACTGACTTCAGCTTAACAACTTTTTAGTGTTTGACAGTTTCTTGTTGCAGATTAAACGTATCAGGAAACCAGCTGGGGTGATTAGTCTATTCATCTCCAAATGATGGATGTTTGCCTTAAATGTCTCTCTTCGCCTTTTCTTTAGCTACTAGCTAGGGGAATTTGCTGTATTTGTTGCTACGGTGACCAGTAGTCTGCGCGCTGATCTTCAGGGTTAAAGGGTGAATGAGCAGTTCTACATTAACTCCAGCATTTAAGACCATTTTTTGCTACACTGTGTTGAACGATCAGCAGAGCTTTATTTTAGGGCATTAGAGGCAGGATAGCATGCCTCTAATGCGGATGAGTATTAAAGGGCCTATATCCCCATTTTTCTTGTATTTTATTTTTCTGCTGAGGTCCACTTGTGATTTTTATGTGATCTTATGCATCGAAAACAACTACAATTCATTTTACATGGACAATTTTCCTTAAGAATTAAACAGGCTGTCTTTTTGTGCCTTTAAAACTGCTGTATGTACATGAGCTCTGTTCTGTTTGACTGCCCTGTTGTGCCTAATTCAAAAAGGAGACTGGGCTGAAACACTTCTTATAAGTTCAACCTGAATAGGTGGGGCTAAACTGAAAAACAGTGAATTCAAAATTGTTTCTATATATGGACTGTATGTACTGGGGTTTTTAAACATTAACACATGTGCAAAGAGTACATTTAAGTCCTTTTATTTTAAAAAAAAGAGGACAATTTTATATTTTGTCAGCTCATAAAGTCATCGTCCACATTTCCTGGAGGTATAAGCCAATGTAAAGCCTACCTTCTGTGCAAAGGAGGGTGATAACTAGATAAATTTACTTACAATTTTGAGGGATTAGATTAGATTTTCAAATTAATCTATCTGTTACTCAGTAGCATTTTAGCCATTATCATTTTGTTACTAATTTTGTTTTTGGGCCTCCATTGATTATGTTCTGTTGGTTCGACCCCTGGCTGAAGGTACCAAGAAGTTCCAATGCAGTTCTAGAGGGAACTCTAGAGAGGTTTTTGAGCCCTGATGCTTTTTTTTTTAATATGTATACATATATTTTTTTACTTTTCTACTTCTACTTGAGTTATTATATCACTGAATCGTCAGCACTGAAGATTCCTGCCATTTGGGCATCCTTGTACCTTTATTTAAAGGAATACTTTGTTGTTTTTCAACCTAATCTTTAACTTCCACACTGAAACAATAATTTCAACGTATTTCCCTGTACTTTAAAAAGAACAGAAAACCTGTTTACTCAAAGCACACCTACAAGAGTAGCCAATGGGCACTTCACCTGGAGTATTCTTTTATAAAATCCAGATGAGGCTATCATTACTGACCGTGGTGTTCAGTCATCGTCGTCATCATCAGGAACGAAGATTTCATGCTCTTCCAGGAGAGCAGCAAAATTCTTGCTAATGCAGGTGCCAAGGTACAGGAACGGGACCACCACCACCGTCACCCGCGTCAGGCCAAACGAGGTCTGTGGAGGACAAAGAAAGCAAATGAAATGGATGGGAGAAAAATATACAATATGCTACAGAAGGTGTGAGCTGTTGGCTCTAGATCTCAGACTCATTACAGACGTGTGTTTTACACAGACGTATACCAGAATTTAATATTCTGAAAAGAGTCTGCTATTCATTTCTGAAACTGCCTGGGGAAAAATTTACATTATTTAATATGTATTAATTACTTGTATTACTTTGAGTCTATACTATATTATTTATTATATACAGTACAACATACGTTACCTCTAGTCAATTATATATTATGTATTACATAGACGTTGTTGTATATTATGTGGTAGAAGTTACTTTGGGCATATTATACATTATTAATGTAGTTTAGGGCCTGTTATGTTATTATGTATATGTATGTATATATACACACACACACACACACACACACACACATACATACATACATACATACATATATATATATATACACACACACACACACACACACATATCTTGCTGTGGGTCTATTATATAATATTTATTATATAAGAGGCGGTGGTTTAGGCCTCGCCTTTGCTATATCTGGATTTTTATAGATGCGTTTTCATTCTTTGTGTTAGACAGCTTCCCCAATAAATACGTCTAAATAAAATAAATAAGTCTAAAGGTAAAACGACTCTTGCTTACATGCCTACAAATCCCAAAGAAAACTACAAACAGATTCAGTATCATACTGAAATACAGTAGAAAATGACTTCCGTGTTGTATATGTTGTAAAAACAACACATGTTGATTGGTCCAAACGGATGTCAGTCAGCGCAGACAGACCTCTGATTGGCTCACAGGCGCTGGCTGAGGTCCCGCCCTCTGCAGTAACCCTGGGTGTTAGGCGATACTCAGACTAAAAACCCACCTTAGCCGGATTAGGCAGGACGGCGCCCGAGCTGGAGGTGACTGCGCTTCGACTGAGCGCCGATCCTTTCACACTCCGAGGGTTTAAACCCGCGTTTTTGGTGAAGTTCGCCGAGTTCCTGAGGAGTAAAGTCCGGATCGAGCTGCCTGCCGCCGTCAGCGCCATGGTTCCTGTATCTGAGCTGGGAGGGTTTGGAGGGAGGAGCAAACAGCCCGGGTCCTGCAGAACACTGTGTTCCTGCAGAACAGGAGGCAGCGGTTTCAGCAGAGAACTTGTAGAGATGAGAATTCCCACTCTGCAATGTCTTCCGGTTTTCGCAAACACCAGAGGGCGCTCCCGAGTGAGTCCAGAATGAATGGGTTGAAATGGAGCATTTGAGCAAAATCAGAGTTTATAAATGCTGAAACATTTTTAATGTAAAAGAATTCAAACATTTCCTGAACACAGAGCAGCATAAAACATTTTAACACCGATGTTATGTTTTAAGAGCTTTTAAACTCGAGTTATAGGAGTTTAAAACGGCGCCTCATGTACGTCCATGACGTCAGTGAGCGCGAACAACCAATGAGCTGCTCCGCTCGCCAATCAATCATCACGCTCTAGCAGTAAAGCCCGCCTCCTGCTGCCCAAAACCCGTTTTCTGTAGAAAAAGGGAAACAAACAGGTGAGATTTCTTTGTTTTTTTAGTGAAATCCATCCTCCTACTAAAACTAAAGGAAAGTTCTGGTTCAGTGATTAGAAACTATTTTAACTGTTTGTTTTTAGCCGTTGAGCTCCATTCACTCCCATTCATTGAGGACTCGCTCACGAGCGCCCTCTGCTGTTCAGCAGTGCTGTTTTTGATATAACGGGGGAAATAGGAAGCGGCCAGACTCCTCATAAACCGGCTCTGAGTTTCAGGACCGCAGTTTCAGGACTGCAATTCCAGGACCATATGGTTTTGCAACACTGCCCCCTAGCGAAGTGGATGACCAATGCTCCTTCCTGTCTACCTAACTACTTAGTTTTAAAGGCGTATTGCACCCAAATACTATGACTTTATGTAACTTACAGTTTTAAAGGCTTATTCCACCCAAATACTATGACTTTATCCGACTTACAGTTTTAAAGGCTTATTCCACCCAAATACTACGACTTTATCTGACTTACAGTTTTAAAGGCTTATTCCACCTGAATACTATGACTTTATCAAACTTAGTTTTAGAGGCTTATTCCACCCAAATACTACAACTTTATCTGACTTAGTCTAAAAGGTTTATTCCACCCAAATACTACGACTTTATCTGACTTACATTCTTAAAGGCTTATTCCACCCAAATACTACGACTTTATCTGACATACAGTTTTAAAGGATATTATTCCACCCAACTACGACTTTATCTGACTTGCAGTCTTAAAGGCTTATTCCACCCAACTACTACGACTTTATCTGACTTACAGTCTTAAAGGCTTATTCCACCCAACTACTACGACTTTATCTGACTTACAGTTTTAAAGGCTTATTCCACCCAAATACTACTTTCTCAGAATTGAACTTGTTTCCTAAGAGTTGCATTTTGTGTAATTGTGTAAAAATAAAGATACAATCAATTGCACATATTGCTTTTACAATCACTAAATCGCAACCAGATATTTGAGACACAAGAAAGGCTTTGGTGCCGTAATATTTATTTAATATATCAACAATAACAACCAACAAGATTCAACAAGATATAATTCTCCTCAATCACACACACACAAAAAAAAGCAAATGGGTTAAAAAGGGACATTTAAAACTGGGATGTTTCTCAACGACTCCTGCAAGAGAGAGAGCTGCGAGAAAACCTAATGTTATTGACATTTGATGTTTCAATTTCAATACTCAAACCCCACTTTGTGAATTAGGTTACAGCACTACCTACCAATGGAATGGTCTTCCTGCTTTCTTCAATTGTTTATCTATCACTCTGTTAAATTCCTCCACTTCACTGAAATAGTAAAAAGACAACACAATCACTGCTCGCTTAACAGAAATAACTTTGAAAAATGGTACATTAATTGACGTTACTACTTTTAAATTTAAAGCATTTACCAATATTTTATGGCATTATGTAAAAACATTGCATTCTCTACTCTTACCCGTGGTGATAACCTGGAGCACAGAGGAAGACCTGCTCAGCCTGCTGCAAGGCTAAATTCATCAGCACAGCTAGGCCATATGATGGCCTACCAAAGGAAAAAGGATCATTTTTTAACAATATTTTTTAAATATACTGTTATACAGAATACAGAACAGCAGGTCTTTGTACATAAGTCTGTAAACATTTTGACATAATGACTATTAAGAATGAAAACATGTAGTGGGGTGAACAGACAGTCAGGACAGTTTAATTAGTAAGATTATTTAAACTTAGTTAAAATGGTAGAACAGTAAGTATTAAGTATTTACACTGAAGACAAAAAGCTACGCTGATTTAATGCAGTGGACAGACAGATATGATACGGACATTCTTTTATCGTCTTTTGAGTTCTAATTAATGTGCTGGGTAGAATTCATTATCATAACCAGTATGGTAATAATTAGTATATGATACCTAGCCAGGTTAGCTAGTTAGGCTTGCCAAAACGGCGCTACGGTTCCAAAAAACCAGGCTGACAGTTTTGAAGAAATCTATTAGAAGCTAACAGATTACTGCGTATAGTGCCTTGACTATGTAGTTTGCTAGGTAACATTAACTTTGCTGTCTAACTCAAAACACGAGAACGTTTTAAAGTTAATTGTATAAAACTTGATTCACGTTCTGTTTTCCACGCGTTAAATGCGGTCCTTATATCCACTTCGCTAGGGAGCAGTATCGCGAAAACATGGGGTCCTGGAATTGCAGTCCTGGAACTGCTGCCTCCTATTCTGCAGTCAGACCCTACTCGTTATAGAAGCTTTGCGATTTTTTCACTGAAGTATTTTTATACAGCTTTAATTCATTTATGAATAAGGTTTTATATTTGCACATGTGTATTTGCAAATATATTTTGCTAGAAAAAATATAGTATTTAATACATAATACATGTGAACATTATCCATTTCATAATCATAAAATCCACACAAATGTTATTTTTAATTGAGTTCAGTCCGGAGTTTAACAAACTTGGAGTAATAGTTCAGAAGGAACTGAACTATTTGCTCAAACCATGAAAGTGTGTTTAAATGTAAATGCAAAACACAAGCGACATTTGGAATATATCCATTTCATTCCATCTCCTAAATTATACATCAACCGTGAAAATTGAAATAGTATGACTGGAATTATAAACTCCATATATTACTAATGAGCTTATCGAACACATATCTTGAAGGTGAAATTTTGGATACCAAAACTACAGTAAATAACAAGCTGAGTAAAATTAAATCATTAGTAACATTAGTAACATCAAATCGTCTTACCCAGACACAGCCAAAATACAAATGAAGTAATAAAATAGCGTAAAGAATTTTATGAACAATTACTGCCTTTTAAGAAGTATCATCATTTATCATGATCATGTTGTACAGCAAGTCTCACTGAATGGCACACTTTTCCTTATTATTTAGTTCGTCCAGTTCTTTTTGTAGTTTCTTCATTTCCTCAGTATTTTCAGCCTTGGTGCTTTTAAACAGATTCTCCAGAAGTTCATACCGTCTCTGATACTCTTTAATCAGCTTCTTGAAGTGTTTTTCTTTTTCATCATTGAACTCGTTGAACTGCTCAGCCTGCTTTCTGGCTTCATCTTCATATTTATTTTTCATCTCTTTCATTTTCTGATCATAGTTCTTTTTCATTTCCTCACGTTCCTTCTCCTCTCTCTCTCTTCTTGCTGTGTCTTCTCTCTCTCTCCTCCTAATCTCCTCTCGCTGTTCTCTCTCTATCTCCTCTCTAAGTTTCTGCAGTCTTTGCGTCTCTTCTTCTCTTCTTTCATCATCCTCACGTCTTCTTCTCTCCCACTCTTCCCTCCTCATTTTCTCCTTCTGCTCATACTGCTCTTTTAATTGTGCTTCCATTGCACGTTTCTTTTCCTCATTCTCTCTCTTGCTCTCCTTTCTCTCCGCTTCCCTCCACCATCGTTTCTCCTCCTCTCTCTGACGTCTTTCTTCTTCTATCTTCTTTTCAAATTCCTCTCTCAGTCTGTCTTGTTCTTCTTGTTTTGCTCTTAGCTCTTCTGCGTGTCTCTGTTTTCTTAGACAGTCCTCTTCCTCCTGTCTTTTCATCTCTCTTTTCTTTTCTTCTTCCCATTCCCTCTGTTTATGCTTTAGGTCCTCTTGTATCTCTTTTTTCTCGTGTTCAGCCTCTTTTATTTTCCTCTCCCAAATGTGCCTCTCGTTCTCTTCCTCTTGTCTCCTTTTTTCCTCTTCCAGATCTTTCCTTTTACGCTCTTCCTCCTGTCTCTTTCTCAGCTCCTGCATGGTACGCTTCTGTTGATTCATGAGAATTTCTTTGTCTTGTTTGTATCTCTCTTCTCTCTTTTTATCCTCCTCCTCTCTGTCTCTTAACTGTTTTTCAAATTCAGCTCTCTGCTTTTGGTTCTCTTTTTCTAACTCATTAATTCTGTTTTGCCATTTCATCGTTTGTATTTTTTCTTCTTCTAACCTCACCTTGTCCTCCATCTCCTGTTTCTTTTTCTCTTGTTCATTTTTTTCTTCAAACTCTTGTTTGAGGGTTTCCATCTTTTCTCTGAACTTCCTCTCCATTTGGCGTTTTTCTTCATCAGCCTTTTGTTTTTCTTCCTCTTGTCTTTTCTTCATCTCTTCCATTTCTTTGCTGTATTTGTTTTTCAGTTTCTCCTTTTCAGCTTCAATCTCTCGCTCTTTCTCTTTCAGAATTTCGTCAATTCTCTTTTTGATGGACATTTCTGCCTCTTCAAACATGCTGTTTGTGAAGTGCTGACTTGACGTGTTTGAGTTTATCATCATTTCTATCTGTCCTAAAAGTTCAGAAACTTGGGTGCGGTTTTCTTTTTCGTTGTTATTAAATACTATATATCTGTTTCCACAGTCTCTGAGCAGCTTGTTGATTTGTTCAATGTTACTTTCCTCAATGACTTGTTCTACTGACTTATTTCCCAGCTTATCTCCTCCAGTGAACAGCACTATAGTGAACATTGCAGCCTTTGGACCAAAGGTGTTTTTTATCAGATCTAAAGTCTCTAATTCATCTTTGGTGAATCTTCCCAAACTCAGCACAATGAGGAAAGCGTGGGGCCCGGGTGCTAACAGTGAGAAGCACTTCACAATTTCTTGCTGTACGTCTTCATTTGATAGTGTGGCATCAAAGAGGCCTGGAGTGTCAACAACAGCAACCGACTTCCCATGAACCTCTCCAAGTCCTTTCTGACAAACCTTTGTCACAGAACCCAAACTGAATTCACTTTTAAATTCATCTCTCCCCAGGATGGTGTTTCCAGTTGCACTCTTTCCACTTCCTGTTTTTCCAATCAGTACTATTCTTAAGCAACTGGAAACCTGTAGTGCATCTTCATCACCTGAAAATGACATTAGAAGAAGTTACACATTATTTTGCAAAGGGTTGCTAAGATCAGCTCAGTAATCACAGTTTATCATCTACAATTAAGAATTAGTATCACAAAAAGGGTCTGAAATGGTAAATATCACATGACATATAGTTAAATTATTAACTTTTTGCAAAACTGTGCTTCAATTATACTTTAATAATTACACATTTTGCCCAATCAGACTCTAAATTGCATCTTAAATGTTAAATTGAGCTAGTTACAGAATGACTGAACTGAGCTGAAACATTAACTCATTGTGAATACAACAACAAGAATAGTATTTTATTTATAATTAAAGATATGTAAATTTTGGGACCTCTCTGGTGGAAATGTGCAAATTACATGCTATGTGTGGAAGAACATTTTGTGACACGGTTGATGATTGTGAGTGTATTGAAAGAGTATTCAAAGAGAACTCTGTCAAAACTTGATGCGTGTCTTCTGAGGATGTGAGTGAATTATCTGCTATTGTCATCATATCTTCATCAGTATGATGTTGATGCATTTGAGACCTAAACATCGAGCCAGGCCTTCTTTTTGAGTGTGTGCATGTGACGTTAATAAGTAAAGACGTATGATGTGGTCTGAAAAACTGTGAAATCTGACCAGACACCTACGAGTTTTAAATTGATAGGCTTGTTCGTCTCAACCTGGCACTGTGCAAATCTGGTTAGTTTTTGGGGTCTTGGATCTGTCCCAATAGTGTGTCACTATGACACACACGTTTATAATCTCGCAGGAGTGAGGCAGCTGCAGTTTTCTGAGCCAGGCACAGCAGTTGCTCACCACCTGGCTGTGTACACTGAGAGACAGCTTGATGTTGACAGAACTTAATCCTCATTGGCTAGGAGCTCCGGCCAACAACCAGGGTTGGGTAGTAATGGAATACATGGAATGGCATTAACAGAAAAGCTACCTGTATTCCATTACAGTTACAGAAACAAACACAGATTGTAGGTGCATTATAAAAATAGGATAATTACAGGCAGAATTACATTACAATCACAACCATGCAAGCCTTTTTCTTTTCCTTGAAATTCACCATTCTGAATGATAAATATCTTGCATGAATTGTGTAGATTTGAAGAGTTTTGTGAAGAGGGGCCTGCAACCAGCAGAGAAATCTGAAGAACAAGCCCCCTCACAAGGAGGAGTTCATGGTCTTTTGTTCAGTCAATCTACAGAAAATGTATTAAGTGCTGTATTTCTTATTGGCAGAACTAAGATATTCAGTGTTTTCCAAAGATATCTGAAACAGGAGTTTGCCCTGGTTTTGCATTATGCCTGATTCTACAGCATCAAAAACAGGACATAAGATCTTTTATTCCTGTTTGCTCCAACATAAAATTCAATTGGAGCTATCTAACTTTTGCTAACCTGCTGAAGTGATTTAATATTAACATTAACTACAAGAATGATGCGGAACAAAAGGATAATGAAACATAAAAAGAGCCTTGCAAGCACTGTGAGGGAATTCCCAGTGGTCACTGCTGTGGCTGGATACACCCCCTCCCCACCATGCGTTGCTAAACTAGCACTAGCAACGTTAGCTACACGTCAGCAAACAACAGTCTCTCCATCCGGAGGCTATGATCATCGTCACAGGTGAATTCAATCAGACTGATCTATGAAGGTCCCTTCCAGATTCAACCAGCATGTGTTCCATCTGACCAGAGAAACACGCTAGATCATGTTTACATGATCACACAGGATGTTTACAGTGCCAACTGTAAGCCAACTTACTATACTTCATATTATTATTATCATAATTATTATTATTATTATTATTATTAAGTTGGCTTAGAAAAGCCAGGTAATGTTGTTCATACCGCGACCCTAGCTGGACTAAGCGGTTAACGATGATGATGATGATGTTGTTCGTAATCTTCTTAATATTATACAATCAAATTCTGTAATCTGTTCATACAGTTATTGATGTACAACTACTAAATTTTGTAAAAACATTCCTCATATGCAGGAACAGCGGACCTGATCGTTCAAAGACAACATTTTTCCACTGAAAATTAATGGTGGAATGTTCAGAAACATTTGCTCTAACTGCCAGAAGTGATGTCACACACACACCACACACACATAACACACACCACACACACATAACACACACCACAAACACATAACACACACACACAACAAACACATCACACACACCACAAACACATCACACACACATAACACACACCACAAACACATAACACACACACCACAAACACACAACACACACACACACACCACACACACACACACACCACATACACCACAAACACATAACACACACACACAACAAACACATCACACACACCACAAACACATCACACACACATAACACACACCACAAACACATAACACACACACCACAAACACACAACACACACACACACACCACACACACACCACATACACCACAAACACATAACACACACACAACAAACACATCACACACACCACAAACACATCACACACACATCACACACACACCACAAACACATCGCACACACCACAAACACATCACACACACATCACACACACACCACAAACACATCACACACACATCACACACACACCACAAACACATCGCACACACCACAAACACATCACACACACACCACAAACACATCACACACACATCACACACACACCACAAACACACCGCACACACCACAAACACATCACACACACACCACAAACACATCACACACACATCACACACACACCACAAACACACACACACACCACAAACACATCACACACACACCACAAACACATCACACACACACCACACACACCACAAACACATCACACACACACCACACACAACAAACACATCACACACACACCACACACCACAAACACATAACACACACACCACAAACACACAACACACACACACACACACACACCACATACACCACAAACACATAACACACACACCACAAACACATCGCACACACCACAAACACATCACACACACATCACACACACACCACAAACACATCGCACACACATCACACACACACCACAAACACATCGCACACACCACAAACACATCACACACACACCACAAACACATCACACACACATCACACACACACCACAAACACATCGCACACACCACAAACACATCACACACACACCACAAACACATCACACACACATCACACACACACCACAAACACACACACACACCACAAACACATCACACACACACCACAAACACATCACACACACACCACACACACCACAAACACATCACACACACACCACACACCACAAACACATCACACACACACCACACACCACAAACACACAACACACACACACACAACACACACACACACACCACATACACCACAAACACATAACACACACACACAACAAACACATCACACACACCACAAACACACCACACAGACCACACACACATAACACACATACACACTCACACATAACACACACCACAAACACATAACACACACACACAACAAACACATCATCACACATACCACACAGACACACACACCACAAACACATAACACACAACACAAACACACCACACAGACCACACACACATAACACACAACACACCATAAACACATCACACACACACCACAAACACACCACACACACCACACACACATAACACACAACACACCATAAACACATCACACACACACCACAAACACACCACACACACATAACACACAACACACCATAAACACATCACACACACACCACATGCATGCCACAAACACACCACATACACAAAACACACATACCACACCATACCACACAACACACCATAAACACATTACACACACCACAAACACTTCACACACACACACACACCAGACACCCTACACACACATAACACACCAAATACATAACACTCACACTACAACCAAACAACAAACACACCACACACACCACACACCACAAACACAACACACAACACACATCACACACACCACACACACCACAAACACAACACACCACAAACACAACACACAACACACATCACACACACCACACCACAAACACACCACACACACCATACACACAGCAAAAACACATGACACACGCCACAAACACAATACACACACACCACATACACATAACACACACACACACCATTCCACACCACACAAACCACAAACATGTAACACACACACCACAAACACATCACACACGCACACACCACAAACACATCACACACGCACACACCCCAAACACATAACACACACCACAAACACATCACACACACACAACAAACACAACACACACACACCAAACACACTACACACACATAACACACCACATACATAACACTCACACTACAACCATACCACAAACACACCACACACACCACAAACACAACACACACCACAAACACATCACACACACCACAAACACATCAAACACCACAAACACATTACACACACCACAAACACACCACAGAAACATCACACACACAACACAAACACATCACACACACACACCACACCACACAAACACGTAACACACACACCACAAACACATTACACACACCACACCACAAACACATTACACACACCACACCACAAACACATCACACATACCACACCACAAACACATAACACACACACCACAAACACATCACACACACACCACAAACACATCACACACACACAACAAACACAACACACACACACCAAACACACTACACACACATAACACAGCACATACATAACACTCACACTACAACCATACCACAAACACACCACACACACCACAAACACATCACACACACATAACACACAACACACCATAAACACATCACACACACACCACATGCATGCCACAAACACATCACACACACATCACACACACACCACAAACACATAACACACACACAACAAACACAACACACACACACCAAACACACTACACACACATACACTCCACATACATAACAC